AAAATATATAATTTTTTTTACTGTATTTAATGTACTCTTGGGGGCCCCCTGGTGGTCACGGGGCCCTAAGCAGCCGCTTAGTTCGCTTATGTCTTGGGCCAGCTCTGCTGTTAGACATTTCAAAGGGTTTTTACAGTAACTTACTGGCAACAGTGAGTTACTGTAATTAAGATTTACAGTACACTCAAAAAAATGCTGGGTTGTTTCAACCCAACTTTGGGTCAAAAATGGACTAACCCAACTTTTGGGTTAAAGATTTAAATAAAAACGTTTAACCCAATGGTTGGGTTAGTTCATATTTGACCCAAAGTTGGGTTGAAACAACCCAGCATTTTTTAGAGTGTACAATAACTGTATTTAACTTTTACAGTAACTATCGTGTAATACAGTGCAATTACTGTAAAAAATCCAAGTCATCAGTGCACTACTGTAATTCCCTAATTTGAATATAGATTTCAATAGATTTTGTAATTTTTATATAGAATTCATTTTATTTTTATCCTACATAGGTTGTCCTGACATTTAGTTCAAACAGACACAATTATTACAAAATATCAAATGCTTTATTTCTAACATTGCATATATAACACTTAAAAATACTCAGACATTGAGACATACATATATTTTTACCTTGCTTGCTGGTCTTATTCTCTCGTAAGGTGCATCAACTCACAGCACAGATGTTCATCGGAGTGCAATTTCACAGCTTGTCATCTATGTGAATTATTAAGTAAATGGGAGTTTTGACATTGCTTCATCAAAATACTCCATGCTAAGTGTCAAAGAGACATTGCATCCCTAATTTCCTCCTTAGTCACACACACACACACACACACACACACACACACACACACACACACACACACACACATTAACTTGTGACTTGAAGCCATATAGTGCCTGGCTGTTAGATAGACAGCAGCATTATGAATAGCTGGAGCCCAGAAGCACTTGTTCGGAAGTCTCAGGAAGCCAGAAATCAGGCGTATTGTCCCTACAGCAAGTTCAGAGTTGGAGCAGCTGTCTTAGCAAGCAATGGAACCGTGTTCACAGGTGAGGACGCTCTAAAAAAATGTGTCTTTGTTATTTGAACACGACAAATACATATATAACATTCAATTTTTTGGAATCATTATGATTTCTTATCCTCTTCTCCTCACCAAAGCTGCATTTATTTGATCAAAAATACAGTAAAAACAGTAATAGTGTGAAATATTATTCCAATTTAAAATAGCCGTTTTCTATTTGAATATATTTTAAAATGCAATTTACTTCAGTTATGCAAAGCTGAATTATCAGCATCATGACTCCAGTCTTCAGTGTCACATGATCCTTCAGATATCATTCTAATATGCTGATTTGCTGCTCAAGAAACATTTCTGATTATTATCAATGTTGAAAACAGTTTTGCTGCTTCATATTATGTAAGATATTTTTTTTAAAGATTTTTTGATGAATATAAATTTAGAAGAGAAGTTCAAAAGTACAGCATTTATTTAGAATAGAAATCCTTTGGATCATTATTAATATCATTACTGTCACTTGATTAATTAAATGCATACTTACTGAATGAAATTATTAATGTCTTTTAAGAAAAAACTTACTGAACCCAAACTTTTGAACGGTAGTGTGTATATTTGTTTTGTTGCTATAGTTTGAATCTGTGTTTCATGGTGCTTCAGCATATGGTAGTGTTTAACAGGTTGTAATGTAGAAAACGCATGCTATACTGCTGGACTGTGTGCTGAGAGGACTGCTATCTGTAAAGCTGTGTCTGAGGGACATACCAGCTTCAAAGCCATCGCAATTGCCAGGCATTTCAATATAGATAGATAATTTATTTGTCCTCAGAGAGGAAATTAATTTTCAGACAAATGCTTAAGATTCTGTTGACAGCGCTTGTAGATACATCGAATATGCTGATTAAAATTGAGATAATCATCCAATGCAATGCCAAGGTATTTAAAATGCTCCACCCTTTCAACCATCTCTCCATTGATAATAATACTGGAATGGATCTGTGTTTTGGAGGAGCTAAAAACCAGTTCTTTAGTCTTTGAAATATTAAGGTAAAGAAAAGTATCATCACATCATGTACTAAAGTATGTTATGGAACGTTGATAGTCCAAAAAAGAATCATTATCCCTGTTATTGAGCAGCTCAAGAATGGCTGTGTCATCTGCATATTTAAAATAATGAGTAGTAGTACATGGACTCTGACAATCATTCGTATAAAGAATATAGAGAAATGGACTTAATACACATCCTTGGGGGGCCCCAGTATTAAGAACAACAGTGGGTGATAATGAATTGTCCTCTTTTACCACTTGCGGTCTATTAAGACAGAAAATTATAAATCCAGTGAATTAGTGGTGATGGAACTCGCAAGCCCTTTAATTTCTTGATTACCTGATGACGCTGAATTGAGTTAAAGGCAGAACTAAAAATCAACAAAAAGAAGTCTAGCATAATTTCCAGGGATGTCCAGGTGTTGAAGTAAACAGTGCAGAAGACAAGCCACTGCATCATCTGTACCTCTTTTCTGCTCGTATGCAAATTTAAGACGGTCCTAAAATTGCGACACATGTGGAAGAATAATATTTTTAGCCATTTTCTCGAAACATTTCATTATGATCGAGGTTAACGATACCGGCCTATGATAATTTAACTCTGATGGATGTAATTTTTTGGGAATAGGAATGACAATTGATGATTTCCAAGTAGCCGGTATTTTTTTAAGTACAGAGTGATCGAAGAAAGATAGAATGAAGAATAGACGTTAATTCCAGGGCACATTTTTTCAAAAGCCGACCTGGAATTCCATCCGGCTCAGGAGCCTTATTGGGTTTGCACTTAATGAGCTGGAAATAGACATCCTGCTTGGTTAAGAGGGACTCATAATCCAACTCTTGAAAGGGCAAAGAATCCAAAAGGCTGTCACACTCTGCTGAAAAATCAGATATCAAAACGGGCATAAAAGTTATTAAGATTAGTAGCAAAAGGATCTGATACACAAGTAGTCTTTTTAATAGATTGTCCAGTAAGAGTCCTGACACGATGAAAAGCCTATTTAGTGTTCATGTTTGCAAAATCCTGCTCCATTTTGATTTTATAATTATTTTTCCCCTTAGAGATTTCTTTTTAATGTCCCGGTTTATAATTAAGAGAAATCATATATAGCTATATTCTGTCCTAGATGCGTGTTCCATCTACGCAGCACTGACAGATAGCTAACAGTCAGAAGTCAGAAAATGGGCAGACGCAGGAGTAAAGTTGAAAGTTTTACTGTTAGGTTCTTTCCTCTTCCATTTCTTATTCTTTTCTTTTTTTGTAAAACTGAAGCATATAAAGATTACAAACGTCTTGTTACAGAGAGCTCACAAATAAATGCAAATTCATTTACAATGTTATCTGAACAAACATAAAGGGCTACATTCATGCTCTGCTTAATATTGTTATCACCGAAGAGTAATAGTTTTAAACTCTAACTTATGAATTTCACATGTATACGTGTATATACATTCTTACAAACACTGAAGAAAAGTAATAGACTTACAGGCAAAGCCTTTCCAAGGCACAAAACGCAAAGGAAATAGAGTAAAGAACTTCTTGGAGAAAATCTGGAACACTGCGATTATTTCCTGGTTAACCTCTAACCCAGGGGTGCCCAAACTCGGTCCTGGAGGGCCGGTGTCCAGCAGAGTTTAGCTCCAGCTTGCCTCAACACACTTGCCTTCAAGTTTCTAGTATGCCTAGTACAGGGGTAGGCAAGTTCGGTCCTAGAGAGCCGCAGTCCTGCAGAGTTCAGCTCCAACCCTAATCAAACACACCTGAACAAGCTAATCAATGTCTTCAGGATTACTAAGGCTATATGCAGGTTTGTTTTGTTTTCAGGGTTGGAGCTGAACTCTGCAGGACTGCAGCTCTCTAGGACCGAACTTGCCTATCCCTGGCCTAGTAAGAGCTTGATTAGCTGGTTCAGGTGTGTTTAATTGGGGTTGGAGCTAAACTCTTCAGGACACCGGCCCTCCAGGACCGAGTTTGGGCACCCCTGCTCTAACCCAAGTGTCACATGGTCTAAATCAACCACTAAGAAAATAGCTAACAATTATTAATGTTCTTTGTTGTTACACCAAACTGCCACAAGATGGTGCTAAAAAAATAACAAACGAATGCATGACATGACAAGCTATATGTATGCATTGACTAAAGTGTAAGTAAGTATTGCTGAGTAATATTCCTGGTATAAACTGTCTTTTGTGCAGTGACCTTGAAGACCGCTTTATTTCTCCATGTGGAGCCTGCAGGCAGTTCATGAGAGAGGTCAGTTCTTCAAAAAATTTAATTATGCAAACTGATCATTATTATTGTTTTATTATTACTATTTATGAAGACACTAATGTGCAATTTAAATGTGATATGTCAAAACAAGTCAGAATGACAAACTAGAAATGCCTGTACATTTGGGTGTGGCCTTGGGTTGCTTATAACAAAGAACAATTACAAACGAATGTGAGTGAGTAATGGACAGATAATGTTTCAGCTTCCACTGCTACTGTCATTTAACAGACTGTTTATGTCAACTGTCTTGCAGTTTGGCTCACAGTGGGACGTTTATCTGTCCAAATCTGATGGATCTTACAAACTGATGACAGTGGAGGAGCTCCTGCCGTGTTCATTTGGCCCTGAAGACCTGAGGACAGGAGAAAACTGTTGGCAATTCAAAACTGTAATACAAATGAAGCTATAAGCCATGTTACAAACCAGATGTGCAGGATATACAGATTTAAAATGTATTGAATGGATGTATAGTTGTATCAATATATGTATAAATGTAAACGAATAAAAAAATAACCACATTCTGAACTGTTGTGTGCTTACAATTGACTCACCGCTTTGAACTTTTTATTGATACTTTTATCTTAAAAGATGTGCGATCTTTACTTTTATTGTGAAATACGTTTCCTGTGACTTTTATTTTGAAATCCGTAAACAAACAGTGACGTCTCACGGACCAATCGGCGATACATAAACACTGCGCTTAATGTAGCGAGAAGTTGGGTTTTCTGCAAACTCAAAGTGAAATTTAGTTGTTCTTTCGGCTCAAAATGTCAGTGAAGCATGCTCTCAGTCGGGGGTTGGAGCTGGGGAGGTCGCTTATCCAGCTGGGGCTCTTCAAACCAGCCGGCCGTGTGGCTGCGAAGCTCCGCGGTGAGCGGCTGCGTGTGACCCGGCCGACCCGCACCGTCCAGCCGCAGACCTTCCTGCCCGGTCGGTACCGCTTCTTCCGCCTGTCTCTCAGCGGCCTGGCCGCCCAGCTCCAGTCCGGGGCTTTCAGGAGAGTGGTTGGAGGTGGTGCACCCAGAAACAGGGCTGTTTTCCTGGCTTTTGGTGTGGGTTGGGGCTGATTGAACAGCAGCTGGAGGAGGACAGGACAGGCGCTGCTCTGTGTCAGGAGATACAGGTGAAAAACACCATCACATAAGAACACAACAATGTTGTATATCTAATAATAATAATGATGTAGCATAATAATAATTGAGCATTCCTGTAACTTAAATGGTAGAGCATGGTCGTAGTTGATTACCAAATAATGCATGAAAAATTGTATTCGCATTGGTAATCGTCTGCCAAGTGCTTAAATGTAAAAGTAATTTAAATATAAATTACTTTGCCATCAAGGAATAGGTTATCTAAAAAAAATAGAATAGGTGTGGTGTGTGTCATTATTACATTATTATTACGATTGTTATTACATTATTATTATTATTATTATTATTATCATTACTTTTATTATTATTGATATTACTCATGTCCACAGGCCCTAACAAAAGAGCAAGAAGAGATTGCTTTGGATGGGTGAGTTCATATGTAGATTTTGTACATCATGGCCTTAAAATAGACTGAATCATTGCCAATGGCTTTACTATTTTTACAGCCACTTTGGAACTGTGCCTAAAAGACTGACTGCTCATCCCAACGTGATCACAGTGTACCGGGCCTTCACTGCTGAGGTCCCGCTGCTGCCTGGAGCTCAGGAGGAGTATCCTGATGTCCTGCCTGCCCGACTCAATCCACAGGGTTTGGGCAGTAATCGCACACTGTTCCTGGTCATGAAGAAGTGAGGAATCATGAAAGCACTTTATTAATAAAATAAAATAATGATTAATTATTATTTAATATATTTAAATTATTATTTAATATATTATTATTATTTATTATGATAATGTATTTGCTATAAAGCAATAATATTATTTAATATTTTATTATATTTTGTTTATTTTTTATTATATTAAAGTAATATTTATTATAAAAATGTACTGTTATAAAAGTAATAATAAATAAATAGAATAAAAAATAATTAAATTGAAATAGAAATAATAATTAATGATAATTTATTTATTTATTTATTATAAAATGTATTTGTTATAATTTCTTATATATGTATATATATTATAATATAGTTATAATATCTAAAATAAAAAAGAATAATACAAATAAATAATAATTAATGATAACAGTTATTGTTATATATATTTATTACAAATATGTATTTGATGTGTTTGTTATAAAAACTAATTAAATAAAATCATTATTTAGTACAATATTTATTTATTATGAAAATAAAACATTCTTTGTTAAAAACAATAAATGAATGGTGTGGGTTGTTATTATTATTATTATTATTATTATTATTATCAGTATCATTATGTTAATATTTATTTATTATGAAAATAACATAAAAAATAAATAAATTATAATAAATTATATATTATTATAATGCATATAATACATTATATTTTATAATTGTCTGTTATATAATAATATTTATATATAATTTTTTTGTTTAATTTAGAATATGTTCAATATATCTATTTCTTTACATGTCACAAAAAAAAAAAAAAACTTTTGACTCCTTGACATCACTTTTGACTTTAGACTAATTTTCATGAATGGTGCTTGTGTTTTTTTTTTTTTTATTATCTGTAAAGTCATGATTGATGTGTCTGTGCTGTAGTTACCCATGCGGTACCCTGCGGCAGTACCTGGAGGTGTGTGTGCCGAACCAGAAGCAGGCATCTCTCATGCTGCTGCAGCTGCTGGAAGGGGTGGATCACCTGTGCAAGCAGGGCATTGCTCACAGAGACCTCAAATCAGACAATGTGCTCCTGGAATTTGACAGAGGTAAGGGTCCCTAGACGGTGCAGACAGCATTTTAGGCCAATGTAGACTTGCAATTGGTAATTGGTATAATCGCCTTAATTGTTACATTGCTGTAATGTGTTTTTATCTTAAAGCCGGGTGTCCCAGACTGGTGATCACTGACTTCGGCTGTTGTCTGGCAGAAGATTTGGACCTCAAACTGCCCTTCAACAGCTGGTGGGTTAACAGAGGGGGGAACACCTGTCTGATGGCACCTGAGGTGAGAAACTTCTGAAATAACTCTTGAAATATTAAGTATTTTTTCTGCTTGCCTTTTCAGGCCAGTAATTCAAATTTAATGTAAATGTTATATTTCCATTTATACTTTTAAAGTTCATATTTTAAAATGTATAAGGGAAATGATATATAATGATATATATATAATAAATTTTTTTTTTTTAATTAATACAATTTTTACACATTCTGCATAAGTTTGGAAAGTGTTTTATGCATGTACTGTACACTCCCATTCAAATATTTGGGGACAGCAAGAATTTTTAATATTTTTGAAAGAAGTCTAACTCACCCTAACTCACCCAGACTGCATTTATTTGATTAAAATACAGTAAAAACAGTAATTTGCTAAATATTATTACAATTTAAACTTATTACAGCTTAATTTAAGATGTAATTTATTGCTGTGATGCAAAGCTGAATTTTCAGCATGTCACATGATCCTTCAGAAATCATCATAATATGCTGCTTTGCTGCTCGAGAATCATTTCTTCTTATTATTATGTTAAAAACGTGTATAACATGAGATGCATGAGATTTTATATTATCAACATGAAGCATATTTATGCTTTCTTGATCATCTAGGTGGCCACAGCAGTTCCAGGTCCAGGGGTGATGATCGATTACAGTAAAGCAGATGCCTGGGCTATAGGGGCCATCGCCTATGAGCTCTTCGGTCAGCCGAACCCCTTCTACAGCTCACAGGGGCTGGAGGGACGCACTTATCAGGAAAAACAGCTTCCTCCACTTCCTGCTGCTGTACCTGAGGATGTACAGCTAGTAGTGAAGCTGCTGCTGTGCAGAAACACTTGCAAGGTATAATATTCACCAAGAAACACTACCTCATATACTGGCAAAAGCAATTGTGTTCACAATATTTGTTTTTGTTTCATGTCATTAAAGATTGCTTGAAGTTTTAAAGTGTATTTTTTATGCTTTATAACATTAACAAAACATGACTAAATCGCACAAAAATGTTTACCGTCATTTTAAATGATTACATAATTAATATTATATACATATTTTTAACCCAATTTTATATATATATATATA